GGAGGGAGGGAAGGAGGGAGGGAGGGAGGGAGGGAGGGAGAGGAGAGAGAGGAGGTATTTACCGTGCAAGCAAGCTGATAGGGTGGCAGGGGCCGCTGGCTGGGAGCAGCTGCCCCAGGCGGGGTCCCTCCACCCCCCAGCTCCCCGCGCTCGCCGCGTCCCCTCAAAGCTCCACGAGTTATGACGTCGCTGGGGGGATGTTGTCCGGACCGGACGGGCCGCGGTGCTGGGCCGCCAGGCCTGCCGTCCTCGGAGGCCCATCCATGTTTACATCCACATTCACATCGCGATTAACCAGATGAGGGTTTGAGGGGAGGGGAGGTCATCGCTCGAGCAGCGCCGCGCCCACCTGGACCTGCTGCACAGCCACGGCGGTAGCAGCAGGCACCACGTGGCGAAGAGTGGCGGGCCGTGGCACAGCAGAGCGGGGCGGGGCGGGGCGGGGCCTCTCGAGGAAAGAGTGCTCTGCGGGGAGATAATGAAAGTTTCCCCCCGCCCCGCCTTCAAGTGACCACTGGACGCCGCCAAAGGTAAACACGGAGCAATAAGGGGCGGGTGGCGAGTCGCGCCGCAAAGGGCCACAAAAGAGCCGTCCTCGTCCGCCAAACGGCCTCGGTCTCGGTCCTGCTCTTCTCCTCATCCTTCTCCTCCGACGTGCGCGTCAGCGCGTCACAGGACCCGGGCGGCGGTGACGGTGGGGAGCACCCTCTCCAACCCTCCCCCCTCCTCCCCTCCCCAGCCCCCTCCCTCCTTCTCCTCCTCCGCACCATACACGCAAAATGCCTTAATTTCTCCTTCTTTCAGTTTCCCCACTAGGGGGGTCGGCGGTCGGCTTAAGCAGCAGAGGACGTTCTAAAAACAAGTAATTATCCCTGTTAATCCCCCTTGTTAGCGCGCGCCGCAGAGAGGGAGGGAAGAGGAAAAAAAAACACACCGGTCGGAAAACTTTGTCCCCGCAAAGAGTGCGTGCACGCCGCGTATGGGCGTGTTGTTTTTCTTTTCCGACCGACGACGTAGAGCGTGGCGGAAGAGCGGTCGAGAGCAGGCGACGACGGACGCCAGCCTTTACGGGACAAATTACTCTTCCTCCCTTCATCCCTTGCTTTTCAATGTCAAGAGCTCCGCAGGGGGGTGGTGGACG